GGGGGGGGTTGAAGAACCCTAAACCCTAGAAAAACCCTAGGAAAACCCTAACCGGAGTTTGAGTGGTTAAGGTAGGGTACCGGTGACCTAATCAAGAAAATAAAATAGCAAGCATAGGGGGGGAAGGCGGGAGAAAAATAAATAAGCAGCGAGATTTCAAAAAAAAAACAAAAAAAAATAAATAATAAAAATAATTAAAGGAAGAAGTAAACAAAATGTGAAAAGAAAAATAAGATGTATTTTTTAAATATTTTCGGCAGCATTTCCCTACCCCCCATGGGGTCAAGAATGTGCCAAGGGGAAAGAAGAGACTAAGATAGGCACACTAGGTTTCAAACTGCCACAAATTAAAAAAATCAGAAAATAAATAAAATAATAATAAATAAATAGATAAATAAATAAATAAGTAAATGAGTGGGTGAGGAGGTGCAGAGAGATGGGTTATCTGATTTTTCAAAAATTTTGGCAGCATTTCGTTACCCCCATGAGGTCGAAGTGTGTCGAAAAGACTAAGTCAGAGAAAATAAAAAAATTTCGGCAACACTTCGTTACCCCCACGGGGTTAAAACATGTGCCGAAAGCAAGAAAGACAAACACCTAATCAGATTTAGGATTGTCGTAAAGAAAATCGATTTTTCAGAATAAAAAAAAGAAAATTAAATAAATCACAAAATCAGAAAAGAGGGTGGGGAATAACATAATTCATTTTTTTTTGGAAATGAGAGGAAATATAAATCAAGAGAAGATAAAAAGAAGAAAAAGAAAAAAACAGAAATTTTCGAAGTTGGGGGGAAGGGGGATGAAAAGGTGAAGGAGAGAAGAGAGAAATGAGTGGGAGAGAGAAAAAGATGGAAGTGGGAGGTAGGGGGATGATGTGGTGGTAGTTGGGGGAGAGTAGGGATGGGGAAAGGTGGACAGGGATCAAGAAGCAAAGAGAAAAGAAGGAGGAAAGAAAAGAACATAAATGAAGAAAAGAGAGAAAGAATGGGTGGTGGGAGAAAAGGTGAGGTGGGGAGAGGGGTATGAGTAAGAGGAGAGAGAGAGAGAGAGAGAGAGAGAGAGAGAGAGAGAGAGAGAGAGAGAAGTGGGTTAGTAGGGAGAGGTGAGAAGTGATACCTGGCCCTTGGTGTCTCCAAGGGCACAAGGTGTACCAAGACCAGGAGGGTCTTGGCCTTCGCTGCAGCAAGCCAGGCGGAGGAGAGAGGGGGCTGAGATCTTGATCAGCCCCTAGCAGCAGTTCTGCAGATCTGCAGATCTAGGGTCTGTTGTGTGAGCAGGCCCTCACCAGTGTAGAGCAGCCCCCTAAGCAGGAGGGTCTTCAGTTCCACCACAAGCTGCCACGTGGCAGT